TATACTGGTTTATTATGTTTTCACTTGGGTGTTGACTTAGTCCAAGAGGGCACAGGAGTTCCACTGAACTTCCAGTATTATGACAACTATCAAGTTCCATTATTGCAACACTTGCCATCACCTGGGTTTGCTAATCTAGGGTTTGTTTTCACCTTCAAACTCTGGTTTATAACAGTTCATTTTCCTATTTGCGACCAGTCTCTTTCCCATTATAGCCAATTTTTTTCTAGAAAGAATAGTCTATGTCTGAGCTCAGCTTTTGCTTCTTTTGCTACCTGAGCTTTTTCAAACTCAGATTTTGCTTTTTTTTTTTCCTATCTTTGCATTAGATGCTGACTCTGTCACAAGGATAGTTTTAAGGGTTCTAGGATATGGGAAGAAATCACTCTTCCTTTTCTATTCTTTCTTCTTAGGCAGCAGGTAGCTTCTTCTGGGACATTGGAGGGGCAATAAACTTTGTGGCTGAGAGAGTTTAGCAGAAAGTCATGCCACAATGGAGAATTTTTTTTTGTTTTTTAAGAGAGGGGGTAGGTGCGAGAGGGAGAGGGAGAGAGAGAATCTTAAGCGGGCTCATGGGGCTTCATTTCACGACCCTGAGATCATGACCTGAGCCTAAGTCATGTCACTTAACCAACTAAGCCACCAGGCACCCTCGTAATGGAGAATTTTGAAATAAGAAACAATAGGTGGTCATTGGAGAAAGCAGCTGAAAATGTGTTGAGTGGGGAAAGGCAACTTACAGACAGCCATGCCAGGATGGAACTTAATTCCCGGAAGCTTAGATACCACCTTTCCCAGACAAGGTTTCCTGTGACATTTTAACCCCATGGAGATAGCTCTGGCCTAGAGGTGGGGCAACATGGTCAGAATCGGGTCTTAGATGACTTAGAGACTGGTAGAGAGTAGTAAGTAGATCTGATGTCAAGAGGATTAGATGTTAAGAGGAAGAGAACTGGGCAGAACACTGTAATTTTTATTAGACTTATGCTACTGCCTCAGAATAGGGGCATTAAATAATTACAACTATACATCCTATGTTTATCTTATCTGCCACTCATTGAATTCACTATGCATTTCAGTTGACAGTTGTTATTGGATTTTGAAGTGGAAGTTAGAGGGATTGATGCTATTATTCTAACATCAGTTATAGCCATACCAGATTAATAGGTGACTAAGTACAGAGAGATTTAAAATAAAAGGCACACATTCTGGTTGTGTATTATGTCACTTTTAAGTATAAAATGAGAAATTATAAGAAAGATCTTTAAAATGAATTAGGTGAATTTTATATTTAAATGTACTCTAGCTTCTTCCTTTCACCCTAAATTCCATACATGCTTCCTTGCTCTATAGGCAATTCCCAAAGATGGGTCATTGACCAACTACTTCCTGAGCAGTTTTGTAATTTTGGCAGCTGCCTCTGCTAGCCATATTTCCCAAGGATTCCTCAGAGCCAAGAGTATCTGCCAAGAGGAGTCAAAATGCTGCTGACGACCAGGAATTGGATTTGTTACAAATGGAGATGGTTCAGCCCTCTGAATTTGCCAATGCTATTGTTAGAGGAGTGTGATAAATGGTTGAGTGCATCTGCCCTTGTGAGCTGACAAAGATCTGAGCAGCTTAAAATATGACAAGAAGCCAGGCTTCTCTGGCTAAGTCTTGGGCAGTGTGTATCAGTCTACAACTGAAACTTAAAAACAAGAGAATGTATGCAAAGAGGCACTTTTCAGGGGTTTCTTTTTTCAAGGCAGAAGTAATAGCTCTTGTATTTGATTGGCCTGGAAATGATTTCTGGAACTAGTAGGGGAAAATGCTGCAATTGTATCCCAGAGCACAGTGTGAGAATTCCAGGAATATTATGCCATTGAAATTAATGTGTTTAAAGAATCCACTTGATGTTTTTTGATGATGATCACTGTATCATTGAAGTTAGAGGACTTCTTCTTTCTTCCTTTTTTTTACCCCTTTTATTTTGGTAGTAGGTAATTTAAGAGAACAAACTAAACTTTCAGCTATTAAAAGAGAACAACATTTATAATGAGCTTAAAAATGCTTACAGAAGGAAACTACAGAAGTAATCTGGTTTTTTCTTTTTTTTTGTAACAAGAAAAAACAAAATAAAGAATCACCTATAATCGTAATGTGTAGCTAAAAGCACTAGTAATTGTGGTTATAACCTTTCATGTTTTTCTTTCTTTTCTACTTGTTTTTCTGTTTTATTCCATTGTGTGTGTGTGTGTGTGTGTCAAGGTCACCAAAGATTTCTATATCACTAAACCCAGTGATCAATTCTTAGTCCTCATCATATAGGACCTATTAATGGCATTTGACACAAATGACCGCTCTCTTCCTTGAAATACTTTGTTCACTTAGATCCCAAGATATATTCTCCAGATTTTTCCTTCTGCATCATTGGCTTTTCTTTGTTCTGCTTGTCCTTTCTTCCCAAAGCCCAGGTTTTAGACTTCTCTTGGACCCACTCCCAATCCCTTGGGAATCTTTTCTAGTTCCATGGCTCTAAATACCATCTACCTTCTGAGAACTCTCAAACATAACATCTCCCACAATAATTCTTGCCTAAATGCCAGGCTCATATATCTCTCTTACTTCCATGTCCACTTGGAAGTCCAATAGGCATCTCAAAGGTATCTAAAACACAACTCTAAATCCTAGCAAACCATGCCCTACTGCAAAAAAAAAAAAAAAAATCTATTGCCAACTCATTAAATAGTAACTACAAACTTCTGTTTGCTCAGGCCCAAACTCTGGGGCCATCTCTGATTTCTCTCTTTCTTTTATATCCCACATCCAATCCATCAGCTAGCCCTCAAAATATATCCAGAATCCAACCACTTCTCATTATATCTTCCACTACCACACTGACCAGAACCACCATGAACTTTTCCTAAGAGAGTGTCCCTGCTTTGGCCTTTTTCCTCTCCAAGAGTTAGTAATCTTTCTAAAACTAAAGTCAGATCATACCACTCTTTTTCTCAAAAAACCCCAATGGCTTCCCATGTCACCTAGACCAAAAGCCAAAATCCTTACAATGGCATACTAACATTCTGTGTGCCTTACCTTTTCAATTTAAAAATATAAAAAAGGCAGCATAGTGCTGGTTAAGAGCATGTGCTCAGGGTCAGATTGCCTGTATTCAAAGCCTGGCTCTAATTATTAGCTGTATGATATTGGGCAAGTTACTTAGCTTTCTGGTGGCTAAATTTCCTCACCTGTAAAATGGGATCATTATAATACCTATTTCATAGAGTTGTGGTGAATATTAATGAATTAATATTTATAACATTGTTATAATAGTGCTGGCATATAGTAAACATTATAAAAGGTTTTTTAAATGACAAAATAGGCATTTTGTGCTATTTAGCATGATTTCATCATGAATTCTGCACATAAAAAACATCTCCAATGGTCCTATCTATAAGAATTTATAGAGGGGCACCTGGGTGGCTCAGTTGTTAAGCGTCTGCCTTCAGCTCAGGTCATGACCCCAGGGTCCTGGGATCGAGCCCTGCATGGGCTCCCTGCTTTGTGGGAAGCCTGCTTCTCCCTCTCCCACTCCCCCTGCTTGTGTTCCCTCTCTCACTGTGTCTCTCTCTGTCAAATAAATAAAATCTTTAAAGAAAAAAAAAATTTATAGATAACTCAAATGTCTCTCAAAAAGTGTGAAATGTTTTGATTAAACAAATTTAAAATGAACTATCATTGCTTTATTCTTTTTGTTTATTCTGAGTGCAGAGTTAAAATGGATTTTACACCATAATTTATACTTTTAAGTATTTTGGTACTTTTTTTTTTTTAAAGATTTTATTTATTTATTTGAGAGAGAGAGAAAGCATGAGGTGGGGAGGGTCAGAGGGAGAAGCAGACTCCTCGCTGAGCAAGGAGCCCGATGCGGGACTCGATCCCGGGACTCGATCCCGGGACTCCAGGATCATGACCTGAGCCGAAGGCAGTCGCTTAACCAACTGAGCCACCCAGGCGCCCGTATTTTGGTACTTTTTAAGCACACTGATGCTGAGCTGCTTAATCACCTACTTCCTAACCAGCAATACTTTAATTCTTAAAGTGGCGTGATTTTTTTTTTCCTGTTTATTGGGTAGATTGACTTATAAAGTATACCCTACTTTTCTGCTTTATTTATGGCCTTTTATTATTGCATTAAAATGAAGTGGTTAAGTCTAAACCAAAACAAAAGCTTAAGGTATATTCCTATATATAGCTATGATGGGCATAGTAGGGAGAATGAGTCATATAAAATTTCCAGTACAGAGTCATGAAATTCATTGACTTTATAGTGGAAGAATTACTATAGACTCAAGTTTTGCACATGGCTGTAATCATTATTTAAATCTGTCTGTAGAGGGAAGTGAAGGAAATGGCCACCAGTCAGACCCTGACTATCATAGCTCAGTTCTTACCATCATTTTACAGGTTTTTTAATACTTGGGTATAACTGAAGAATAAATAACCCCCTGTGAAAAGGGTCATACTATTTATTCAAAGGACTATGAATCAGGTTTTTTTTTTTTTGACAGTTGAGTTTAACTTTTTGAATATGTGGTGTGAAGTTTTGTTAATTCTAGAAACTTGTTACAGTGCTAAATGGAATTTTGGTATAAACTGACCCTACTGTACAAACTCTTAAAGGCCTCTGCCTATTGAGGTGGGCCACTGATCAGCTGCCAGGTAAAAACAAACTTCACATATTTGCCAACAGAAAGAACAGACTCTACAACAATGCAGCAGTTGAGAATTCCTTTGAGGATGTGAGGAGAGAAACAATACTACTGTGCCTGCACATCAGAAACAAGAGACAACATCTGATGAAAACTTGCTTAGTTACATCAACAATTTTGTGAAACTTAGCACTTCACAGTAATTGCATGTAAAAACGGTGTACAAATGAATAGTGCCCCTCCTAAAATGTCAAAGCAATTCTTGTCAAATAACACTTTTCCTCACTTTTTTTTTAATTTTAAAAGAAAATTGGCCCTGAAACACCATCCAGACAAGAATCCGGATGATCCAGCTGCTGCTGACAAGTTTAAAGAAATCAACAATGCCCACACAATACTTACTGACATGTCAAAGAGAAACATATATGACAAGTATGGATCACTGGGACTGTATGTGGCCGAGCAATTTGGAGATGAAAACGTTAACACCTACTTCATGCTGTCAAGCTGGTGGGCAAAGGTAAATCAATTTTTTCTTTAAAAACAATTTCCTAGAAAAATCATGGTATTATTCATTCTTTTAGACTCCATCTCAGAGAAAACCTAATCTTACTATATTATTAAACTCTTGTAAATAAAAAGAGATATCACTTTGACTGAAAGCTGTTATTTGAGGATCTTTTTTTTTTCTTTTTTTCTTTAGCTTGTCAAATAATTATAAAATACAGCATGACTTAAAATACCTGTAGACATTAATTATAATTGAATTTGAGGCTTCAGGTTAATTCTGACTGCCCTCCCTCTCCCCATAATGACTAATTAAGAACTGACTCACTGCTCAAAACAAAAATAATTTATTAGTGTGACAAGTGCTTAGTAAATTATTATAGGACAAATTTAACCATGTACTTTACTATCTAGAGCATAACCTACCTGAGCAAACATAGTACTTGGGAGAATGCATGGTAATTATGTGATAGGCTCACGTGGGGCCTGACTTCAAGTAGTGGAGAAGGAAATGAGGGGGGAAAAGTGAGAATTAAGTAGTGCTGGAAGGATGTTGAAGAGACACAGAGGGAGAAATAAAAAAAAAAAAAGGATATCTGGTCAAGAAGAAGGCAACATTTTTAAGGACTTAGTGCAATCAGAATTGACTTCTGACAGTAAATTTTGAGTGGTTTCCTAGGAATACCTAGTATATGAGTGTTTGATGATGGTTATATATATATATATCTTCTGATAAAAGGGTATTTACATGTGAACCATACATATGGTCCATCAGCATATTTTTTGTACAATTCATATAATTTGGGAAATCGTATGAACTCACATTCATATGGGTGGTAATAATTTAAAAAGCTACAGATCTCCAAAAAGAGGGATTGTTACTGTCTTCCACTAAAATAAATCTTGCTAAATTGAAGAGTCTTATATATGCAGGAGGAGAGAGAATATATTTTTATACATAAGCATGGAGCATCTGCAACCTGAAGCCTCACTTGTCTTCTGCAGTCTCCAACATTTCTTTTCCTAGAGATAACTGGGATTCCAACTGAAACCCCCATTCTCTATTGTTAAAGACCTGGGAGGGAGACAAGTTCCCACTGAGTGGATTTGGACCTTGGAACAAGAGTGTACATATTGACAATGTCATTTATAATAGATTGAGTGTTCATATAACAGTGTGGGCTTACCTGCAAATCTAACCTCCAGGCATGACATTCTCTCCATGGGAAGGTATATTTGGCATTCTAGATAATTTACATACCTGCACCTGGTTGCATATTGGGGCTGGCCTGCATAAAAACGAGAATAGGCTTCCTTGCTGCGGAAGTTGACAAAATTGATCAAAATTCATATAGAAAAGCAGAAGCTGTCCAAAAGTATAAGAGATTTTTGAAATAATTCCTGATATGGCTCTTTAAAAATAGTTACAAAGAAATTTACCTTCTTCTTCTGCTTATATCAAAAACCTAATTGCACAGTGCCCATTAGAGAGGGCTGGCACATAGTGATCATGTATTAGGTGTGCACTGCAAGAATGATTTATTGTACCAATGAAAATATGTATTTCAAAATATTGGACTCCTACTTATGCCTAGTAGTGTGCTAAGCACTGTAAGTATATAAGGCAAGGTTATTTCTGCAACAGGCAAACAATCTAGTTGGAATAATTAAAGAACAACAGTATATGAATTAAAGGAAATTTTTGGAGAAGAGAAAAATATGGGAATTGCATGGTAAAGACAAAAAAGGACAAAGGTAGGTAAAAAAAGGAGTAGCTGGTTGGGGCAGTAGCTCAGGAATACTGCACAGGAGGGTTTTGGACGCAGCTGGTGAGGAGAAGGGTGTTGCAGTTTTGTTTTCAGAGTAATTTACTTAAGTCTATGAAAATGTAGAGTACACACGGCAAAAAGATTATCGGCATGAGTGTGTGACTGTAGGCTCCATGAGCCACTGTAGGCTCCACCCCATAATGGGGACCAGAGTCAGAGATGGGGTGCTGGGCTAAGAAGCAGGAATGAGCCAGGTGAGGCTCATCGACGTTAAAGATTTCTACCTTAACTTCCTGAAGAACTACATATACACAAGTTGATCTTTATCCTCTTTCTCTTTTTAGATAAAATCTGCATTCTGATTCAAAGATGTATAAAACACTTCCTATGCCAAATAACGTATTTTTTTAAAAAAATCAAATTTATTTTGCTCAATTAACAAAAGTTTTAAATTGGAGGTTGGGAAAGTTTTTCATTTTTAGCTATGGCAGACTTAGTAAGCAAACCTTTATCTTTTTCTATAAAGTATTTTTATATATTTATTTTTGATTGAGAGAAAACAAACATGGGGGAGGGGCAGAGAGAGAAGCAGGCTCCCTGAGGAGCAGGGAGCCCAATTCAGGACTCGATCCCAGGACCATGGGATCATGACCTGAGCTGAAGGCAGTCGCTTAACCACCTGAGCCACCCAGGGACCCCTAAGCAAACCTTTTATATGCTTGTGGGGAAACCCTGGTGCTGGCTGTTCATGAGGAGGAACAAGTCATTTGTTTATCTATTAATTACTTCATACATTCATTAATTCAATAGGTATTTATTGTCTTCCACATGCCAGGTACTAAATCCTTAGGTTAGGAGGGACCGAAGGGTGACTAACATATAGTTCCAGCCTTCAAGAACCTCAGTCTAATGTGAGACAGACATATAAACTGATCAATGTCTTAAATTGAATTTTGTCCTAAAGAAATTTATATGGAGTACAGCTGGGGCACAAAGGAAGGAGAAACTGTTTTAGAGTGGGGGGGGATCAGGAACGATGTCAGAGAGAGGATCTTTGAGTTGAATCTTCAACACACAGTGGGCATTTTTTAGATGGCTGGGGAATGGGAAGGGGCCCTCTGGGCAGATGAATCCACAGGGAGAGCAAATCTATCAGGTATGGCAGGAACAGGGCTGTGCTAATTCACAGAAGGGTTTGAAGCCAGATGACTATTAATAAGGACCTCAAGCCTTTCCTGAGAGGCAGGAAAGTTGCTACATACAGTCAAGAGAACATGTATTTCAGAAAGCTCCAACAACAACGTGCAGAGTAGAATAGGAGGCAAGAGTAGAGGCAGGGAGGCTAGTTAGGAGGCTATTGAAGTGTTAAAGGCAGAGATAACAAGATCTTTCTAAAGTCCTACCATCAGGATAGAGACAAGGAGGAGGGTGTAAGGGATCTTGAAGAGATTCTGGCAGGACTTGGTGACTAACAGAAATGCGGAGGTGGGAGGGAGAGCAATCAAAATCTCTTCTTTGGTGAGAATAATTCAGTCCCCTTGGTTAGCTCATTTGATCTGTAGAGATTGTGTTTGTTTTGTTTGCTCTACTCTTAATAACGACCACCATAGCTTATGAATAAAGAAGAAAACATCACCCTTCATTACTTAGGCTACAAGTCACTTCCTGTGAACTTGTTAGGCAAAACTTTATAAGGAATTTGTTTCCAAGGTAACTAAAAAGGCAGTTCTTGTATGGAATAAGGATGAGGGTGAATATGTGGTCTGCAGGGTGAACTGCATTATCTTCAGGTCTCTGAAGATACATGGATGCACACTTAATTTCTGGGGTTCTCCCACACTCCACCACCCCTCACCCCTATTTTGCTTTGCCTCTGCTTCCCCTAGACCCTGTTTGTTATCATTGGCCTCTTGACTGGCTGTTATTTTTGCTGCTGCCTATGCTGCTGTTGCAACTGCTGCTGTGGACGCTGCCGGCCCAAATCGTCGGTGCCAGAAGAGGACTTTTATGTGTCCCCAGAGGATCTTGAGGAGCAGATCAAGACTGACATGGAAAAAGGTGGAGTAAGATGAGAACAGAGCTAGTGGGTGTCCCTTCGCAGGCCTGACCAAGCACGAGATCCCTGACGATGGTTATCACTAGAGTGAGAGAGATCCAACAACCCAATGAGGGGAATCCCAAAGACAGTCATCTTTGGTACCTCTTTTGGAGAGGATAAAAGGACAGTTACCTCTCCCAGCTGCAGAGAAAAGTAGAACCTGACATCATTAAAAAGAAATATGCTGACCACAAAGCAAAGCCAGTACAATTCGTGATCTCATTACAGGAGCATGAGCTCTAGGTTCAGGGAGGTTTGGGTGGTAATGCTCAGACGTACAAGAACCAAGCCTGTTACCTTAGGATCTCTATTTACATAGAAGGGAGTGGACATCACAAAAAGTCAACAACCCTTGACTTTTCTTCTTTCTGATTACTTGATAAATGAGTTTTGGGTAGAACTGGGGAAGGGTGATATTTCTTCCCTGGAAATGTAGCTTCCTTTCAAATCCACACATTCAGAGCTAGCCTCAACCAGCATCAAGAATATTGTGCTATGTAAATGGGACTGTTTGCTTTGCTAAATCTCCTCCACATGTTTGTCTATGTGTATACATGACCATGAAATATTACTTGATTCTTCAAGCTCATTCCACCCAGAAAATGATAAAGAAAAAAAGTATAAAGAAAGAAAACCTCACAGAATTCACAACACCAGGAATACTTCATATGCTCTGGGAAATGCCTTTGTTTAAACAAGCTGGAGTCAAACCTGCCATTGTCCTCTCTGTCTTGCAGCCATAATCCTACTATCATTTTATCCTTTAGAATGCATCATTATTCTGCCTTACAGACTTCATCACTAAATCACAAAGAACCTTGGACAGCCAAATAAAAGAATTACTTGATAATTCAGACAGTGGCCCATTGTTGTCAGAATTGCTGAATTTAGGAATGGTACACTTCTCTGGACTGTACTGATTCTTTTGATCACAATGAAATAGAATTTCTATGACATCAAGCAGCAGAGACTATTTAAAGACTTCCACATACCTTTTATTCCCTATCAGATGTGATGCTAAGCAATAGTGTTATTACCCACCCTGACTCCAGCTTGAAGGAAGAAATCTTCAATTATATGAATCGTACTTAGTCCAGACAATTTTAGGATCGGGAGTCAGAGAAGACTGAGGGATTTTCCTGCAACCTGTGACCCCTCTCTATGGGGACCAATGCGTGGTCATTCTGGCAAAGAAGGGGGTTACTCTAACAATTTTTTATTACTGCCCCAGTAGACAAATCGTGGGCCCATGGTGAGATATAATTACAATTGCCTTTTGCCTTATCTGGGCTATAACAGGACAATTAATCTTTTAATGAGGACATATATACCAAAAAGAGCAAGCAAGCAGTACTACTTAAAAATGGGTTAAACAGAAATATATATGTATGTAAACTCCTCTCCATGGAAGGGCCAGTGACCTTGCATAACTTGCTTAAGAATGATGATCCCAGTACATTAATCCCATCTGCCTTTGCAAGGGAGTTAAATTGTTATAAGATCACATTTACTGGCTCTATTGTCTACAGGATCTCCCATAACATCCATCAATCCAGTACAGTATTCAAATACTAACAGAGGATAGGAAGGGACAGTGAGATAGGAAAGTATTGTCATCATTATCCACTGTGTCAACCTTACCTTAACTTTTCCTGTATAGTGCAGAAATCAAAACTAGGTGAATTGAACCTAGATATCCCAAATCTACTGTTTCATACTTCTCTGAAAAGCCTCAAAGTCTTTCCTCTTTTAAATTAGATAAAAGCTCTACCAGGTCATTTCAACAGACCTCTTTGCAGTTTTTTTTTTCTGGAACAGAAATTTATACTCAGTGCCAAATTCCACCCAGGTTTCCTTCCTGCAGGATGGCTGGTGATAAATCTGTGTGCCTCTCACTGTTCTCAGTTCTGACACCCCAGAGTTACCAATTCCATTGCAGAGGTCATATTCTAGACTAAGTAAAGCATGATTTCACTTGAATGTGTTACTAAGAATCCTTAAGCAAAAAGAAAAGTTTTATTCTATGCCCAAATATTTAAAAGCTCTATGCAGAGTTGATTCAAGTTTTATAGGGCTTGACACTTACATAATTTGGGCAGTGCTCTTTAAGAAAAAAAAAGCACAAAGTTACAAATACAAAAGTAGGTCTGAAAACAAATATTTATTTGTAATGAGAAAAGGAAATCACAACAAAATGCAAAGCTTAAAAACTGAAAATACCATAAATATCAGAAGTCTAGAAAAGTAGCAATGGTTTAATTAATAGCCTGGCACACCTCTGTAATACTTTCCCCCTATGTTTTCTGGATGCACTGTTCTTTGACTGCCTCTTCATTTAACAATAATTTTGGAATATAATTTTCTATAGGAAGAATAGAAAAATAATTCTGTTTTTCCTCTAGTGTGTTTGATCAAGATTTGTTTTCTCTCATGGCTTTATAACTCATTATTGATAATGTCTAAATTTTTAAGGATAGCTATTAAATTTGAAAGACTAGTCTATTTCATTTGTAAGATTTGGAAGAATTTTTCACAGACCACTTTTTAAGTCTGTGCATTTCCAACTTGGTTGCCCCTACATCATCCAATACTTCCAATATCAGAGCCCCCTGGGCACAATCATACAGGTGACATCACCTCTGGCGTGGATCTTCATGTCTCCTCAGCAAGTGAACTGGCATAGGGAGCTATTATGCCGGTATGGCTAGCAATAATGAGCTATGCATAGGTTCGTTGCAAACCACAAAAACATATGCCACTAAACTCAAATGGGATCTATTTCCCCTTAACTGAATCCCCCAAATATCCATAGCCCCTCTGTTGCCCTTAATCAAGAAGAAACGTGTGATGGAGGGAAAATCAAAGTGGAAAGAGACACTGTTTTTGCTGATTATAATTAAAATATCTTACTTTTGCAAATCTACAAAAATATAAGCATATTGCTAGGGCCCCAAAAGCCCCTCAGAAAGATCTGCACAGATAGAGGTCCCTGAAGCTTAAATTTCATTAACCTAACAGTAAATTCACCAGTGCTCTTCAGTCTAACATTTCATTATGAAAATTTATGCCTTATTTGCAGCTAGGTGCACTAGTTTCAGATTTTTACCCCACTAATTCAGAGACAATGTAGTTTACAGATAAAATTAATGTAAGTTAGGGCTCGTAAAGATGAAAAAGAAGATTCCATGTAAAGACTATGCTTTCTGGACTGTGATCCAATAAATGGAATACGGTCTCTTCTGTTCTACAAAAGAAGGGGACCCACTTAAAGTTGTTTAAGAAAATACACTTGAGGGGTGCCTGGGTGATTCAGCCGGTTAAGCGTCTGACTCTTGGTTTCAGCTCAGGTCATGATCTCAGGGTCCTGAGGGGCTCAGTGGGGATTCTGCTTGAGAGTCTCTCCCTCTCCCTCTGCCCCTCCACCTGCTCATGCACACACATTCTCTCTCTCTAAAATAAATTTTAAGAAAACAGAAAATATACTTGAAAGGGGCTACTAATCATTTAGATATCAAGCTACTCCTGACAAATGATAAGAAGAATATATCAAGATTTGAGTCCATTGGAAGGCACTGGTGAACCCTGGGGCTTTAAGATTTTTTTTTCAATGATTCTGAAATTAAATAAAATATGGTAAACATTTTCTCACTTAGGGAATTTTTAATTATCTTACATTGAATCTAATCATACAATCCTAGGATTTTATAGTTGGAAGAGATCTGAGTAGTCAACCCTCACCTCCCCACAAATTTTCTAGCAGACTGCTGCCTAACCTCATTTGAAAGCTGCTAAGGGTGGGGAGATTTGGGACCTTGTATGAAAGTAAGAGATATTCATAAAAATTCAACAACCAAAGAAGGATACAGAGTCAAAAGCAGGTTTACACCAACCTTCTGGTACTAGTTCCCCAAGGATAAAAACACTTTTAAAATTTTTTGTGTAAATATTTATGGGGTTTCATTTTACAAAACCGGTATCGTATCTACATATATTTTTTGCTGCTTCTTTGCAGAGCAAAAATTTTGATGAAAAAGGTGTCAAATTTTTAAGGGGATTATGCTTTTAATGTCATGTCTAAGAACTTTTAGCCTAACCCTGAGTCATGAAGATTTTCTCCAATGTTTTCTAAAAGTGTTATAGTTTTATGTCTAACATTTAGCTCTATGACCCATTTTGAGTTCATTTTTGTTTATGGTGTGAGACTTAGGTCATCTTCTTTTTTGGGGGGAAGGCACATGGAGTTTAATTGTTCCAACACCATTTGTTGAAAAGATTATCCTTTCTCCATTGAATTGTCTTTGCTCCTGTCAAAAATCAGTTGGCCATATTTCTATATGTTTATTTATGGACTCTATTCTGTTCCATTGATCTATGTGTCTATCCCTTCACCAATAATACAGCCTTGCTTTCTGCAACTTTAAAGTAGGTCTTAAATTCAGCTAATGTGATTCCTCCAACTTCATTCTTTTTCAAAACTGTTTTGGCAATTCTATTTTCTTTGCCTTTCCATATAAATTTTAATATTAGGTTGTCTAAATCTACAGAAAGATACCAAATTTTAAAATTAGAATTGCATTAAATTTGTATATTAATTTGGGAAAAATTTAAGTCTTTATTACTATGTTGAATCTTTCAATCCCCCAATACAGTATGTGTCTTTACTTATTTAGGTCTCATTTGATTTCTTTTATGAGTGTAGTATAGTTTCAGCATACAGAGATGGTATGTTAAATGAGTACCTAAGTATTTCATTTTGGGGAGAGCTAGTGTAAATGGCACTGGTTTTTAACTTGGGTTTCCAATTGTTCATCACAAGTATTTACAAACATTTTTGTGTATTGACTTTATATCCTGTGTTCCTGTTAAGCTCACTTAACTAATTTGTATTGTTGTGTGTGAATTCTTTGGGATTTTCTATGATGACAATTATGTTATCTGCAAATAGAAATGGTCTTATTTC